AGCTTAGTGTTTACTTCTTCTGCTTCTGGGCTTGTTGCAGTACCTGATGGTTCTATCTATACACTCAGTAAAGGTAATAATCACATCAAATACAAAGTAATAAAATATTTAGACGATCTGATCATTGATTTTTAATTAATTATAGGAGCAATAAATCAATTGACCAGAAATTTAGCATGCGAGTGGGCAAAAGATAACATTCGTGTCAATGCAGTCGCACCATCGCTTATCAAAACGCCTCTTATTGATTCAGTCATTGTAAGTATATGTGCATTTTCCTCTCTCACTTTTTTGAATTTTTTATTCTTGAGTTTCATGGGAGATAGAATATACAATTTAATAATGGTTAAAACCCTCAATATGTTGATTATTGCAGCAACATTCAATAACGTTGAAAGAAGGAGTTAATGGTCTAATCAATCGTTCAGCATTACGTCGTCCTGGTGAGCCTACTGAAGTTTCTGGGCCAGTGGCATTTCTTTGCTCTTCAGCAGCTTCATTTATTACCGGTCACATACTAATGGTAGATGGCGGTGCTACCATTAATGGTTATCCTTAATTAATTGGCAAGGCTCTATTAAGTATTATAAAGTTGATACTCAGTGTTTTTTATTTTAAAAATTCAAGTGCGTTGGAATATATATTCTTTCTAATAAAGAGTACGTGTTGAGCAGTAATCCAATTGTCAATTTAAAATTTTAGTTGGAACGAAACACACACTTCAATTGAGAATGTCTAATTGGCTTGGACTATTAAAACAGAGCACACAAATATAATTACAACTTATGTTGGTACACAAAAATTACATCTACTGGGCAAGTTAAAAGTCTAGAATTTGAGAGAGGGGTTGAATAAAGTACTGCGTAAAATTTTTTAGTTTAAAGAATAACACAAAAGTGTGCAACTTACAATTGAGGTGGCTAGTACTCTAGGGCAGCATGAGGTCTGACATCGCCTATCGTCGAAAAGAAGAGTTTTTGGTACAAAGTCGAATGACCTCGACTAAATAACTAGTACCCTAAGAGCGATACGGGATCCGACCTCGCCTATCGCTGAACGGAAAAATTTTTGGTCCAAGGTCGAATGACCTCAACCAAGTAACTAGTACCTAGGGGTGGTACAAGGTCCCACCTCGCCTACCGTCAAACGGAAGAGTCTTTTGGTTCAAGGCAAAATCTTGCTCAAAAAAATGGCTAACATAAAAACTAAAAAGAAAAAAGTTTCATTATTTTGAGTCCATGACACAAAACTGGTTGAGGTCCAACCTCCCAAGTAAACTAGTCTCGAGCCCAAGTTGAGGAGCTCAAGCCGATTGAGGAGCGGAGCTCATGCTCTTGAACTTGGCTAAGGTAAAGTTGAGAGCTCGGGTACTCAAGCTCCACCAAGGCAAAGGTTGGAGCTCAAGCCGAGGGGTGGAGCTCATGCTCTCAAACTTGAGTAAGGTAAAGTTGGAAGCTTAGGTTCTTAAGCTCGATCAAGGCGAAGGTTGGAGCTTGAGGTGGGGGTTGGAGCTCAAGTTCTCAAGCCTAGCCAAGTATAGGAGCAAGACCTTTGGGGTCGGACCAAGCAAAGCGGGAAACTCATCAAGTTCTTGGAGCTCGTTAAAAAGTATGGAATAACACCCGTATGGGGCACCCCAATGCGACCAAAGTCAATGGCATGCATGGACGTGTCAGTGCGCCGAGCAATGTATGATTTATTTGCATAATGCAAAAGTTAAGGTGCAAACATGAGGCACATAAAAGGGATAGCACCATGTTGATCAAGGCCGTGGAGCAAAAATACTCTCTTTCACTGATGAATTCTCACCGCTCAGAGAGTGGGGGACTGGTGATAGATATATTACAAATAGGCACGGAACAAAATAACCTAGTGGAGCGAACCCGACAAACTTAGGCCCAAGGCCGAGTCTTGATGAGCTTGACACCTCAGAAGTCTCACGCCAAACGCACCTCGAAGGTCCTATACTAAGCTCCGAGGTCGGCACCTTGAGGATGTCCAACCCACCTCACCCTCTTTTATATATAGATTATATATTTACGTATAAGTATTATATATATATATATATATATATATATATATATATATATATATATTAACAAAAGATGAAGTAGTTTAGTTAGCATGGCATGTAGTTGTAATACTAAGTCATGAGGTGGAGATTCTATGACCAGAAGCCGGCCTTTTTACAAGCAGCCAGCCCATCTATTTATAGCTGGCAAATTATGCCCTGGACCCGTGTCCATAATGAATTGTGGACACGGGCCCAAAACAACGTCGTTTTTAAAAAAAAAAATGCATCATTTAGTTTTAAAAAAAAAAAAAAAATTGCGCGCGTTTTGCCGTTAACGCCGTTAACGGCGTTATTTTTTTTTGGATTATGAATGTACAGTTATGCCGTTATGAACGTACAGTTATGCCATTATGAATGTACAGTTATGCAATTATGAAATTATGAACACAGAGCTCTAACATTATGAACTTACAATTATGAACATATATAGTGATAAAATTATGATCATGGAGCTTTAAAATTGTGAATATAGAGCTTCGAAGATTATGAATGTACAGTTATGGAGTTATGAATGTACAGTTATAGAGTTATGAATCTACAGTTATGGAGTTATGAATCTACAGTTATGAGATTATGAATCTACAGTATGGAATTATGAATGTACAGTTATTGATCGAATTATGAACAAAGAGTTCTAACATTATGAACTTACAATTATGAACATATAGTGATAAAATTATGAACATAGAGCTCTAAAATTGTGAACATAAAACTTCAAAAATTATGAATGTACAATTATGGAGTTATGAATGTACAGTTATGGAGTTATGAATGTACAGTTATAGAGTTATGAATGTACAGTTATGGAGTTATGAATGTACAATTATTAACATATAGTAATAAAATTATGAACATATACTCCTATAACAAAGTAGTCTGAAAAAAAAAAAAAAAAAAAAAAAAAAAAGATAACAGTGCCTAACGGCACTGTTACCCGTGTCCAGCAAGCATGCTGGACACGGGTCCAACGCATAACGATTGTTTATAGCTATGTAATTTAATACGCACTTATATTTATAATATGTGTTATTTTGTGAGCTTTTATAATGATGTAATTAATTATAGAAACTATTTAACTTGATTAATTAATTAATATGAAATATATTTTGTGGTTCAGTTATGTATATTAAAATTTTAAATAATATTTTATTTTTTTATGTGTCATTTTTTTTGAATGCTACTAGCTCTATTACAATGTAATATCTGTTCATATACTTTCTCAACCTACTGAAACACAAAGAGCTAATAACGCCTCCACTGAGGCTCGAACTCACAACCTTCCAAATGGAAGTCCAACCCGAAAAAAAAAAAACTATTTAGTATAAACTATTTTTTTTATGTATCATTAAGTCAATGTAATATATAAATTTCTATTATGTATCATGTATATAAATTATTTAAATAAAAAAAAAACTTGAAAATTAATATAGCTAAAAGAAAAAATATTTATAAATATAAATGTGATTTATAATGTGTTTTCTATTTGAACTATTTTATCTAATTAATTTTTTTCATATTTTGTTATTAATATTTTATTGACTTTTGAAATATTTTATTTAATAATCTTTTATTAATAATTAATTTATTATTTATTTTGATAACAATATTATTGTTTGTAAGTTTATTTAATTGTAAATTGTCTATTCATATGATTATTTGTTTATGAAGATAATGATGCCGTTATTGCTTATTTTGCATTTAAGAAAGTACTTAAAATTATTATTATTATTATTATTATTATTATTATTATTATTATTATTATTATTATTATTATTATTATTATTATTATTTTGTAATATTGTTAAAAGAAATTGTAAATCTTATTTCAAATTATTTGATATTAATATTTTTTCATTATGTAATTCAAATTTTAAGTATGAAAATATATTTAAATTCAGGTAGGTCCTATTTTGTTGATATACTATGGGCCTATAAAATTATAGGACCGGGGAACGTTATGCTATGCAACCGTGTGCTCCATGCAATGTGCACACGGTTCCAATTCATAATTTTTATACTGTAAATTCATAATTTCTAAACCGTAGATTCATAATTTAAATACAGTAGATTCATAATTTCTATACAGTAGATTCATAATTTCTATACTGCAGATTCATAATATCTGTACTGTAGATTCATAATTTCTGTACTGTAGATTCATAATTTCTAAACTGTATAGTTATCAAATTATGAATATATAGTTCTGTGATTTGTGAATACAGAGTTCAACAATTAGGAATATGAACATCGAAAATTATGAACATAGAGTTCTGTAATTAACTCTTTATGAATATATAACTTTATAATTATAAACATATAGTTCAGTAATTATGAACATAGAACAGTATACATCATACATGATACACACGATTGCACAGCATAATTTGCCAGGACCGAGCCTGCCAACATTCTTGTCTCTAGATACATTCATTGCCCTTATCTTCAGTTCTTATTATTTTATATTTATTTGATTATTCGAGTCCGGGTACCCGGATCAATATAATCCATCAACATGTTTTAACTTGTTGATTATATATAATTTTATATATAATATAATTAACATTGAAAACGTGGATTTGTTGTGTGAAATCTCATATTCCCGTGCATTGAAATTTTGTGGAGACAAAGAATACCCGGCCTGCCTCTTCATAATTCCTCACATATGCGGGAATAGAAAAAATATGTTCCCAGTGTTGAAACAGGGACAAGGATACAAATCATCATGGTTGACATAGTATTAGATTAAAACGATGATGTACAAAATCCATTAAAGTACAGATGCACTGCTAGCATATATATATATATATATATATATATATATATATATATATATATACACTTTTAAAAAAAATTATTTTATTTATTTTCCCATACAGTTCAAAATATAGTGAAATTTAAGTTAAAATTGATTACTAAAAAATGTGTAACTTTAAGTACACTTCATATCTCAACATTTATATTTATTTTGACACACTCCACTCGAACTTTCAAAGTTACAATTCAAACAAAATGATGACAAACTTCAAAATACATACACATATTGCTTATATATTGAGACCGGTATATATGATCTGAGCAATTAAGGGCAACCATTGACGGTAGCTCCGCCGTCTATAGCCAGTATGTGGCCGGTAATATAAGAAGCCGCCGGAGAGCATAAGAACGCTACTGGTCCAGAAACTTCAGCAAGCTCCCCAAGACGGCGCAACATTGTCCTATTGATTTGCACGTTAACTGTTTCTTTTATCATAGGATCTTTCTGAAACACATTGAAAATGGTAATAAGGATTATTAGACTACTACACAATAGCACAAAGAGACCAAAAAAAAAAGGAGGAAATTTTTACGTACGGAGATTAACTCAGTGAGAGGAGTTTTGATGATCCATGGCGCCACAGCATTAACACGAATGTTATCTTTTGCCCACTCGGCTGCTAAGTTTTTCGTCAATTGATTTATTGCCCCTGTATAAAAATTATTAAATTGTTAAAAATTAGTGTCCACTGTATTGACCCGTCTTGACAGGTCTAAATTAGCATGGGTAGAGTATGATGATGTGGTTACCTTTGGAGACTCCATAGAGAGAAGAAGCAGGTGTTGCAATAAGACTGGAAGCAGAAGACATAAAAACTAGGCTTCCATTTCCAGAAGCTTTTAGCAAAGGGTGTGCCATTTGAGTAATGTGGAAAGAAGCCTCAAGATTGGTGCCAATTATAATTGACCAATCTTTTTCAGTAAAATCTTGAAATTCTTTAAATATTGCCAACCCTGCATTATTTACCTACATTATATTGAAAATAGGAATTATATACCGTTGTATCATTGGAAGAATAATACTAAATGTTTTTGTTTTCAAAATAAATTTTTAAAAAATTACATTTTTGTCCTCCAACTATTATACACATGGTACAAACTTAATTTTTGAGTTATATGCATGACCATATTTAATCCCTAAGTTATGTGTAAAGTGACGATTTTAGTCATTGAAAGACCAAATCAGTCACTTTATTATGTGACAAATTGGTGACAGAAATAGTCTCTGAGGGATTAAAATCGTCACTTTGCACATAACTTACAGATTAAATTAAGATGTTCACGCATATAACTCAGGGACTATGTTTGTACCACGTACGGATATAACTGAATGACCAAAAATATAATTTTTTTTCATAAATTAACATCTCCAAATTATGTAGCTTACAAGAATATCGAGTTTTCCATTGAAGTGATCGCCAGCGGCCTTCATAAGCTTCTCACGCTCCTCTCGCACCATTAGGTTACAAGCCATGCCGGATACTTTATATCCCTTATCATTCCATTCTTGCAAACTCTGATCCAGTTCATCTTGTTCCAATGCACACGTGTATACATTTGCTCCAGAACTTGCTAATACTTCTACTATTGCTTGTCTAAATAGTTTAAATTAAAACAAGCAAAACATTACTAATACTACATAAATATTTCAAAAATCTAATAAACTATAAAATTCAATTTTAAGCATAATCAATATATAATTCTCATTCTTACCCTAAGCCCCGACCACCACCAGTAACCAGGGCGGTCATGCCATTAAAACACCATGATGCCATAGCTGAAGGTGGAGTAGAAAGAAAGTAGTATAACGACCTCAAGTTAAGGAATCACTGCTAATATTGCACAATTTAAGGTATAATATGTAGATAAGTAGTTGTGGTTTTGAGCTTGTTGTAAGCGGGTGTGGATTATATAGGCACATTGGACACCAAAGTATTCAAACTCGATCAGCAGCTAATTCAGCAAAAGTCTACCTGCATTTAGTCTATCTAGAAGACTAAAATACTAAAAAATTGCAATAAATAAATGAGTTCAGCAACCAATTACTTTTTTTTTGTGTGACTAGGACCGCAGTTCACAATATAAAGGTAACTTGTTCTTTGCCACATGAGTAGCTTATTCTTGGGTAATAGATTGTGACATGAACGCAAGTTCAATCATGATAGCCTAATGTGGAGTTCCACTCAATATGATGGGCTTCTTATGGACATCAAACATTGATTTTCCCACTTAATGGACCACCTTTGTTGGCAAGGTAGCCCCTTCCTAGTGCGACAAACTCGACCCATTCATACTAGTACAACAAATCATATTCCACCCTTCAACCACCTTTTTCAGGAGATTATGTTAAGCGAATTACAACCCTTATGGGGTGTTTGGTTAGATGTAGTTAGAATTCCTTTCCTACTTTATTCCATGACAAGGCAATTTACAGTATTTTGTTGGAAGTAATTGCAATTCCACGGAATAACAATTATCTTCTTTTGTTAAATTGTAATTCATGGGTAGTACATCCCATGAATTACAATTCAATGGTTGTGGGAAAGGAAAAAGGGGAAGAAATGACATAAGTACCCTTGGTTATTAGTTTATTACTATTATTATTATTATAAAGACATTTTAGTCTTTAATTTACATCACTTCTTTCCTCCTCATCCTCAACAATTCTATTCCTCACAACCAAATAATGTAATTTAAATTCATACTTTATTCCAATCTTATTCTTTTTCTACCGAATTACAAACTCTTTTTAACATAATTTTTTTCTCCCTATCAAACACCCTGTTATATCTAGCTATGTTCAGATTGTAATGTGAGGCAGAATGTTGAAAATTTATATAGTAATGGAGATTGATGTTTCAAATGGACTACCATGAAAGCTTAAATAATATTTGGAGTTGTGGAGTTATAAATATTATTTTAGTTTGGTAGAAAGTTAATTGGAATACAACAGTTGGAGAATGAGTTTACCGGAAGGGTTTGACGGAAAGCTTTGTCTATTTACTAATATTAGAAATTGGTTCAGTTGGAGCTTTGTCCATTTACCAATATTGGAAATTGGTTCAGTTGGAACTTTGTCACTGAAAAATGTTTTAGTTGAAAAAAATAATTACATGCCTGAAGATATCAAATGATCCAGTTTATGTTTCTTGTTGTCTTCTGTATTTTTATTATATTTCAAATGTATTACAGAATACCAGCATTTTTTTCGAACACAGAATGGTTAACTTTTAGCTACCAAACAGTCGTATGACTGTATCAGTTCATAAATATTGATTTTTCTAGTGCATGTTTGATGCATGTCAGAATGTGTATGAATACTGCACTATTTTAATATTAAATTTGGTCTAAACTGGGGTGCCGCTTGCCATGCCAGGCGCATCTTGACCGGTCTCAATTATCTGCAAATTGAAGATGGCGCAAAGATTTATTTAACTCTCTCACTACATTTTCTAAACTTCAATTTATCAGAAAGCCCCATAACCACAAGATGTGTTTTGTCTTATTATGACTATTAACTTGCAAAAGATTTCAAAAAGATAATTATCTATATAATTAATGGTTCAAATTAAACAACTCACACAAGAATCAAAATTTAAAACCTGATTATAAACCTAACTATTCAACTAATTTGTCTGAGAATACCTCAAATTTTATAAACTTGTAACTATAACTACTCTTTGTACTTTTGTAAGATCGAGTTCATATGTGAATTCAAAAGAAGTTAGCTAAAAGAATATGAACACATCTTGCTAAGCAGCCTAAGCTCATCACATGGAAATATATTAGCCAAAATGTTGTGAATATATATAATTATCTGCAGATTCAATTCACCGTTCACGTGTTCTGTGCTTTCTATTCATTTGACCTTTTGAATCTCAAGATCTAATATAATGCCTCAATTTGCAGTACGAAACCCATAGGAAAAGAAAGAGAGAGAGATCGCATAAAGTAGAAGAGGAAACTACACGTCTTCAAGAATATGGGAACCATGTAAAAACCTGACTTTCACCTTATACCCATTGCTTCTTGCTGCAATGGACACTCATTAATCCGCTTGCTCCATGCAAAAATTGAATTTGAAGTATTGTCAAGATCAAACGCTTACCTGTATCAAAACTTGTGTAACAATCTGATCGACTTTTACCTTATATTTCTTTATATATATGACACATTTTAATGGCAGGATGCTGGACTCGTCTCTCCAAATCATATCGTCGCCCAACAAGTATATAAAACAGACAGCCATGACTGCCATTGCAACACCGGGCGTGATGCCATGGCCGAAGTTAATAGAGTAGTATAAGCTGATCAAAGTTAAGGAATCAGTGCTAATATAGGCCGGAAGAGTAGATCCCAACTTAGCGTATAGTAGCGCGGCTGGCTGAATGCAGCAACACGTTTATGTAAAACGTTGTCTGAATCGATACTGAGATTGCATGTTTGATGTTCCGATCCCCCTAGCTCAAAGTATGGGTTATATTATATATTACGGAGTATTAATTATTAATTAGCTATAAACCAATCGCTCTGCATCTTTAATTAAAAGAATTCAAAACGAAAGGACAGATAATGGTTTTTATAATAATTATTTATCAAATATGCAGACATCACAGTATTTTAAAATATATCTATCTGATAAACACACTGCACCATGAACTTAGAATATCAATTATATCGAGAAAATAACATAATTAATCTCATCAGAAATAAAATATGTAATAGCTACCTCAACAAATTATAGAATAAGAATAACCAACTTGTGTAGAGTAAGTATGGTGCGACAAGTCAAGTCAATATGAAAATGTAATTCAAACTTGTAACTTTGATTACTAAATCAATAACATGACTAATTTGATCGAAGTTGCTCTTAATTTCTAATTCAGTTATTAATCGAATTAATCAAAATTTTATTATATAATATATAATTTATTTTTATATCTATATATTACTAATTTAGTTAATTAGATGAATTTTAAGTTTTTTAACAGAATTAATTGATAACTGAATTTTTTTCAAAATTTAAAATTATTAATTAATCCGATATATAATTCAATTACCAATTGAATTAATGCAATTAAAAATTAACCAAAATTGTTTTGGTTACTTGAACCCCTGAATATAACTCCAGCCATTAAAAGAAAGATGAAAAATGATGTGAAAGGCATTCCTGTACTGCGGTACACTTGTACAGGCAGTTTGAGAAAAATTCACATTCCTCAATTATAATCATACTTGAACAGTTTCCCTATTCTCTAATTATCATTTTCTATTTCGTAACAAAAAGTTTAGGAAAGCCACACAAATATTTTTTTAAAAAAAAAAAAAAACTAATAACAGTATGTTTCTCCAAACTTTCAAGATTATAACAAGAGGAACAGGTACATCATAACAACCAGAAATACACAGTTGTTCATACCGCACTCAATTTATGTTTTTTTACAGAACCACTAAATTTAGGTTGACATCCGAGTTGAGCTTCGCCGTAGGAGCTGCATCAATGGCCAGAAGATATCCAGTCTGTGAAAGTTCCCTGAAGCCTGCATTTCAAAAGAGCAAACTCTCATTTAACCACAGCAATGTCATTGAGTTAAGAATGCAATCAGCCGTACAATTTTGGATGAAGTCAGTGTACCTCAACAATAAAGCGGGCCCATGTGCCACCAACGCGATTTTCCATCACACCCTTCAAAACCGTCAGCTCCAGACGGTGAATAACATCAGCAATGTCAAGAAATCCACTGTGGTCATTGCACAGCATCTGTTGGCAGTTAAAAGTTAGAAGAGAAAATTATCACACAGAAAGGCAGCAATTGTGACTCCTGCTTAGGATGGCCTATACATGATACCTCTATAAGCATATATCCAGGATAGTTGAGATCTTTCACGATTATAGGGCATGTCTGCTCATCACTTCCCAATTCCAGTGCCCAGCTTGTCCCTGGTTGATAATTAGCTTTTGCTTTACTTGACTTCAGACTCTTTCCGGTTAAAACCTGTTGGTTGAGATTTAACCAAAATCAGGACATCACACTCATATTTTCTCACTTTTTATAACTGAATTCATCAAATGTGTTGCACTTGTCCTATTCCTTGGGTAACATGGGATATATAATGTCCCAAAATGTAATACATAGGATCTTTATTATATTGCATTAAGCAGGTTCACACAAATCCACTAGTCATAGCAATTAGCCATCACATATGCATTACTTTGGTAAAGTATCAACTACAAGATGTGAAAAGATAAGTATTAACTGTACAAATGTAAACTATATGATACCCATTACCCAAAATAAAGTAGAAACGACTCCTACAGTGAATCACTATGCTGCAAAAAGTAAATATCAACTAACCTCTTTTTTAACCTGTTGCCTCAGCTTATCAGCCTGATCAGTAACATTTTTCATGAACAGCATGTGTTTTATTGTCCTATCTAGCAAACCATCTATGCTGCACTGTTATATCATGGCAAAAAGATCAAATATTATGTTAAGCTGAGCATTCAAGGTGAAAAACATGTAAATAGCACTCACTTTTGCACTATTAGGGACAAGTTCTCGGAGCTCCTTTAAACGATCCTGAATCAATTGCCTATCTCGTGGCCGTCTAGGCTGCCTATCAGAGACCTTTGCCCTTTTCATCTTGGCATAAGGACACTCTGATTCTGCAGCATGATGCATGGATCTAGAACGTTTTTTCTGCTGCTGCTCCTCAACCACTGTACCCATACTGCATTCTAATGAAGAGTTAGTTAAAGACTTCATATCTGAGGCAACAGACGCAGATATAGGACTGCTCCATGGTTCTGTTTTCCCTCCCACCAAAGCACCCTGCACCATGTGATTTCTCCTTTGGGAGGCAGAAAAGGGTATTCCTAATGAGGT